ATATTTTTCTTGCAAAAAGAAGGAAATCTCCTATTGGAACACTGTAAAGATATCAAGCAAATTGCCAGCTAGAATGTACTCATAGATTTGATAGAATACAATGTCTGGACCGTTTCTTCATTATGGGGCTTTAGATTTCCCCCATAGGGTGGTTATACATGTTTTATGAGAAGATGATTTCCCCCTGGGAAGTAGAGCAGCGTTGACTAAGATAAATAAGAATCAAAAACAGAAGCCAATGGGTAACCGGGAAGAAGGATTTTTAGATTCCCTAGAGTATATTCTAGGCTAAATAACATCTGACCCCCAATTGTAATCTGAAAAGACACATGTAAAAAGTGTTTAAAGCAGCACTGTTTACAATAGCCAAGACATAGAACCAACCTAAATGTCCATCAACAGACGAATGGATGAAGAATGAATACGATACATGTGGTATTCCATACAGTGGAATGTCTTGTTGTTGCTGAGTCTCTAAATCGTGTCCAACTCTCTGTGAACCCATGGACTGCAGCATGCCAGGCTTCCCTGTCCTTCACTAACTCCCAGAGTTTGCTCAAATTCATGTCCATTGAGTTGGTGATGTTATCCAACCCTCTCAGCTTCTGCTGCTCTGTACTTCCTTGCTTTCAATCTTTCCCAGCATCAGGGTCTTTTCCAATGAGTCAGCTCTTCACATCTGGTGGCCAAAGTATTGGAGCTTCAGCTTCAGTGTCAGTCCTTTCAGTGAATATTCACAGATATCCAATGAATATTCAATGAACTATTACTCCCCCATAAAAAGGATGAAATAACGCCATATGCAGCAACATGGATGGATGTAGAGATTACCATACTAACTGAAGTAAGTCCAAAAGAAAAAGAGAAACACCATATGATACCAGTTACACGTGGAATCTAAAATATAACATAAATGAACCTATCTATGAAATAGAAACGTTTCCCTGGTGACTCAGCTGGTAAAGAATCCGCCTGCAAGGTGGGTGACCTGGGTTTGATCCCTGGGTTGGGAAGATCCACTGGAGATGGAAACTGCTACCCACTCCAGTATTCTAGCCTGGAGAATTCCATTGATTGTGTAGTCCATGAGGTTGCAAAGAGTTGGACACAACGGAGAGACTTTCATTCATTCATTTATGAAACATAAACAAACTCACAGAGAGAACAGACTTACAGCTGCCAAAGGGGAGGGACCTGGGGGAAGAGGGACTGGTGGTTTGGGATTGTTCAGCTGTTGTGTCTGACTCTTGCAATCCCATGGATTGTAGCCCACCAGGCTCCTTTGTCTATGGGATTTTCCATCAAGAATACTGGAATGGGTTGCCTTTCCTTCTCCAGTGTTTGGGATTAACAGATGCAAACTATTACATGTAGAATGGATAAACAACAAGGTCCTGTTGTATAGCACAGGGAACTATGTTCAATATCTTGTGAAAAAACAATAATGAAAAAGAAAAAAATATATATATATATAACTGCATCACTTAGAGGTACAGCAGAAATTAACACAACATTGTAAATCAACTATACTTCAACAAAATTAAAAAGATAACTTTATGCCTTACTTAAAGTTTGCATATAAATTGAGAACATGTTTCTCCACTAAACAGCATACAATTTAAAAACATACTGTTTTAGTTATCTATTGCCGCATAACAAATCCAACCTGAAAAGTAGTGGTTTAAAACCACTGGTTTATTATTTCTTACAGTTTGGTAGGGTGACTGGGCTCAGCTGGGCAGTTATACTGTTCTACCTGATGCTGGCTAGGGACGCTGATGTGGGGACATTCAGCAGGTGGCTACACTGAGTTGGAAAGTCCAGAAAGGCTTCACTCACATGACTGGCTCCCTTGGTGCTCCTCCAGAAGCCTCTTCCTCTCCATGTGGTATCTTATTTAGCTGTATCTAGCTCAAGCTTCTTTACAGCATGGAGGCTGGCTTCCCCAGAGAGAAACGTCAGACTTCTCTGTCTGGGGAAGAAGTTGCCAGACCTTACAAGGGCTAAGTCCAGAAATGGCACAGGGCATCTATGGAAGACACAGGTCATGAGATGAGGAGAGGGAGGGAGACTTCATCTCTTGATAAGAGGAGTGGAAAGTGTCATGGTAAAACTGAGGTAGGTTGACAGAAATTGTTGCAGCTACCATTGGAAATAATTGACCACCCTCTTTTTACATAAGTACGATTAAAAATAATGAAAGCAGAACGGTTAGTTCAGAAAAAAATAAAAGAACTGAAGTATATTTAGATAGTGACTCTTTCATTATTTTATCAACTGTTTTTCTCTCTGATCATTAGTCTAAGTTTGGCCTTAAGCCTTTTTGTGTTTTTAAACTTAAACAGAAACTAGCTTGGGCCTGACGATATAAGAACATCTTGCAGCTTAAGTATCGTAAAGGGCCAGAGAAATATTTGAACTGAAGGAAAAAGAATCTTAGAGCCTCAAAGTAAAGTTGTAAAGATGTTCTCAGAGATAAACATCAAGCCGGTCAGACTGGAAAAGTTTTTGCTAGTTTTTCCATTTGTACAAATTCCCAGCCCCAGGCAAAAAAAGGAATAGTTTGCTACATCAGCTCTTCAGATATTCCAACTGATAGGAAATTAAATAACAAATTCTGGAATTAATATATGAAGATGACAGTTTTTCTCACTTAAATACAAAGTAATAGTCAATGGACTAATAGCTGAGTTGAACAAAAATTAGGAGACAGAAGAAATAGTTCTAACTTTTATTAAAATAAGCTAAAGGGCATATTCAGGTTAAGTGATATATTCAAATATAAAGTCACCAAAGTTTTTAATCCCATTCTTAGGTTTTACAAATATCTTAAGATAAATTAAAAAATATTATGTAAATTTAACATAATACAACTAAAACTGTTTGCAGTACATTAGATCTAGAAGTATAAATTGTCATTATGCTAACTATCAAATACTAATTGAATCACAGCTATAAGTTCATGTGGTTTGAAGCAGACCTGCCTTTATACAAACATGTCCTAAATTCATAAGTAGACACACAACATCTTCAAAGTAACAATATATAGAGATACAGTCAGTGACTAGTGTTCAGGACAGAAAAGAAGAATTGTAACTTTATAAATACAAGTCATTTATATGCCTGTTAAACAGGATAACAAATTCTTGGGTTGATTATAAGCTTTAAGGATAAGTTAAATATAAGGTTGACTGAGCCTGTGGCTGAAATATAAAACAGATAAAATTCAGTTCTATTTGTAGAATTCCATTAAGTTATCATTTACTGAAACTACCAAAAGTTTTCCTGAAGTTAGAAATGTACTGAATGTTCTTTGCCTTAATGGATATCTTAAATTAGTATTTCACAGCATATGTCATTTCAAAGCTAATTAGAGTTAGATTAAAACAGCAAAGAATGATTACATATTACTCTGCATTTTGAAAGCACACCTGTTTGATTTACATTAATTAAAAAAATCCAGTGATAATTAGCTTTAAAATTTAATTTTGTTTCTCAAATTGACCTAGGTTAGGTGGTTGTCTGCAAACTGCTATTCACTTGATAAAACTAGCAGAGGGTAGTGTGTGTGTGTTTGTGTAAGTATGAAAGAAAGCAGGCGAGAGAGAGAAAGAGGGAGATCTCCTTGCTCCCAAAGAGCAAAATGTATTTTGATATTGTTAAATAGTCTCTAGAAAACTATTTTGGTGGAAGATAAGTCCAAGACACAAATACCATGCGCTACAGAGAATCACAGAAGTTTAGAGCTGAAGGGGAGCCTAACACATTATCTCATTTATCCACTTTCTTATTTTACAAATGAGAAAACGAAGGCAAAACAAAGTTACATATTGTGACAAGGCTACACAGACCTAGAACCAGTGTCCTAACTTCCAGACCAAATGGTATTCCTGTTATTCTCTAAACCACCACTCCTGATGACTTTTCATCTTCTGTCAAAACAAGAATGATGTTGTTGAGTTAATGATTCTAGTAGAAAACAAATACACATATATATCCAGAATACTACTTTAACTTGCAAGTGTTAATGTCTTAATGACATCCTAATGTCTTAACTATATGCATTAAAGTCTATATACTTGTGATTTTTCTATTATCTTACACTAGTACCCCAATTTTCCAAGATTCTACTGTTTGTGGAATTTTAGTATCATTCCTATTTTGGTAGTACGTTTTAATTTAAAATATATACTTACATTTTTTGGAGAATTCTGTGCCATTCAAGCTGTTCCAAAACCAGGATTGGAAATCGCTGGTGGTAACAAATGACAAAGAAAGTGCCACCTTTTAAAAAAACCATAATTCTACGGCAAGTATGAACAAGGACCTTACAACATGTTCGGCACTGAAAATTTTTCATCTTATTAAAAAGAACATATTAATTTTCTTATGTCCTGTAGTTTGGGGAACCTGCCAAGAGCACTAAAGGACCGTGAGAGAGCTCCTTAGCAGAGGGACCCTGTCTCTGCTCGCTTCTTCATCTCTGCACTCTGCTGTTCCCCTTCACTCAGTCATCTCCCTAATCCAAAGCATCTGACCACTGCCTCTTGAATACCACTTTTCAGTGGTTCAGTCTTGTTAAAACAATCTTTAAAAAGTGACCCCCTCAAGGGCTTTGTGGTTGGAGCAAGTCAGAACAAATGCATGGATATATCATCAGGACCAAAATAGGGACTAAAGACAGAGTCCAGGCAAAGAGGCCTATGGGGCTGATGTCCTCTCTGTGTATTACGTATTATACTTTCTTCTTCTCTGAAGAAGCAGCAGCACTAAGAATAAATAAGGTCTGCATTTCTAATTGTCAAGTGCCCTGAAAAAGGAAGGAAAGGAAGAAGAATGAAAGAGAAGGAAGGGAGGAAGGAGAAAGAAAGAAAAAGAAAGAAAGAAAGAGAGCAACTTGGAGAGCCTCAGGTATGTGTGTGTGGAAAGTGTGAGAAAACCAGGGCGCCAAGAGGTCACACTGACGTGGAGGAAAGGAGTATTCAGATGGTGCCACTCACCATGACGGTGTCGTATTTGGACGGCCCTGGGAAAGAGTTCTATAAGTAAATTAGAAAGCCTGGAAGCTGGCACGGGTGAGACAAGCCCCAGGTAAGCCAGAAAACGTGCAAGGCTATAAAAGGAAACGCGTGGTTATAGAATCACGTGGGCTTCTGCGAAGAGCAAGCCTATTTGCTGAGGAGAACTTTTACAAAAGTCATTACTTAATTTGGGCACAAGTACAGCTGTCTCCCATGCAGCTGAGAAATGCGAGGGAACCTGCAAAGTACGGAGGTGAGAAACCTGCACTCTGTAGAGAGTCGATTCGAGATGTGTGGCCCTGAGCGACCCAGGCATCCCAGGTGCTCCGTGGCCTGGGCCACCCAGGGAGAGGTAAGCATGCGAATGTCCATCAGAAGATTCCTTTTCTTCAAGGTAATATGACTACACTGGAACATTTTTCTAAGCATTAGATGCTTTCACCTCTCTTCTCCCCCGTGATACCTAAATGATGAATTTGTCTAAGGAAGAGAATGGAGACAGAGATGCTAGTATAAATGGATTCTTAAATGTAAGCAAAAATTAAGGGAAGGCAATTATCCAACCCACCTCTGCCCAAAACTCCACTGTTGTTTGAAGCACAATTATAAAATGGATAATGGGGTCTTACGCTGTCTTAATTTCTGCACGTAAGCTCACATTTAGGTGAGCTTGAGCAGCATGAGTGGTTTGGCAATAAGAAGGCTTAAATGATTTAAAAAAAACCACTATGAAAGCTAAAAATAAATCTTTCATCAATGTTGCTTTTATCTTTTATTCCTCATTGTTCTTGTACCTGTGGTATCATCCTACTAAAAAATGCAAAAAGTCTGAAGAGACACATTTTGATAATAAAATGAAAATAAAGAAGATCCTAAGCAGGCTATATTCACACTAAGAATATTAAATGGTCAAATAAGCCCACCTCAAATATCTTTAGTGAGCACAGAACTATTGTTTAGATGTTATAACTCCTTAATAAAGAGATGTACCCAAGTAACTGAATGGGATTCTCTGAAAATTCATAGAGCCATGTTTATATGTGCAGCAGACTTTTAGAGATGACCATGAGGTGGAACTGTACTTCCTTAGTAACAGTTTATGCTTGGTGTCTCAGTGTCAAATAGGAAGAATTTCTGGAATTAGCTGTATTTGCAAAATTTAACAGTGTTCAGGTATGCATGCCAGACCCAGAAGCAGAAAAAGTTAATGAAATAATCTTAATATTTATTGATAAAGATGTCTCTATTTTGTGCCTTTATGCCAGTCAGTGATAGACAGCCTCATGCTATTATTTTTTTTTCCTCATGCTATATTTTACATGAGTTCCTTACTAGCAAACTAAAAGTACTTTCGAACAGTCTGTACCATTTTTAGATGTCCAGAATAAAAGGGATCTACTCTGATGCTTCAAAATTTATAATTATAAATATATATTTACACATATGTATGTATGTGTGTCAAGTTTACTTGGGAAAACGTCCCAACATAAATTCAACTCACTTATTGAGGTGTTTTGTTTGTTTGTGTCTTTTTTTGACGAGACACAAAATGAAGTTAACTGAATGATAATCTTCCTGCTCTCAGAAGTGTTTACAAACTTGACCTGACCATGATGCCCAGGTGTAGGGCTAGACAAGTTTATAGAGCGTGTGGATGCAAATGTTTGGAAGACAGTGTTGACAATGAGATGCTTAGAAAATACACCCAGGAGGATAGGTTTAGGTACTGGGATGGCTTAATCAGGAGGAGAAAAGGATAAGGAGCTGTGATGCACCAAAGGACAGCCGAAGGCTCAGCAGTCAGGTATGCTAGGGTGTGATGTCACGAGGATGGTAATTGCTCGCAGTTCATCCACTATTTTCTATGTAAATGTATGGCATGTTCTCTAGCTAGCTTTAAAAATAGAATTGTCAATGTCTTATGAGACAGAGAAGGTAGAGTCTGCCCTGGAATTAAGGGATAAACCTGGATGACATTTCAAGGTTTCCTTCCTACACCAATATAAGAACACAGAATAAAATACCAGGATTAACTCAACAGACCTGGTTGCAACAAGAGCGAATTAAAATGCAGAAATATAATGCCATTCCTTACACAAACAATGGCGGGGCAAGCTATCTGATATTGTTCTAAGACTGTATGTGGTCAGCTGAAGCAAGATGGTATATGTAAATCTTTTTCATAAATCAAAGGATAAGCTCACAAATTCTCAATACAAGTTGCTTCAAGAGGGGCTGCTCTGAAAAAATCGAAAATCTCTCCTCCATATGTGCAGTTTCAAACGCTGTTAACATTTATAGAAAATGTTCTAAAAGATAAACTTGGCATGTGAAAAACACAGGCAGAGGAATCAGTAATGATCAGAGCAAAACAATTCTAGAAAGCATCTTAATTTTCCTATGGCTCATTTGCATCTGAAACACTGAGACTCCCTATCTCTCTGGTACAAAAATGTGTATACGTATTAAATTACTTTCCTCTTGAAAGAACTAAATGTTTGGAAGATGATCAAATTTTAACTGGAGGACTTGTTTTCTTCCATCAGGTGTGGGGGAGATGTGGCTTCCTGGTATGAGAGGCAACAGTTGATTCTAATAGCAGAACAAGACAAAAATAAGAAAGTAAATTGAAAACAATTCCTATTGGTATAGTTTGATTTCAAGGTGGTAAAACAAAAGGATACATACAGTACAAAGATGTCAAAAGACATCAATTAAAAAAATTAAACAGAGTTACTTATCTAAAAATTGTGGTTCTCTGCTACTTGAAAATTTATATTATTCATTCTAGGATACTCAGGGATGTACTATGATCTGTTTCAATGAATTCATTTCTGAGTATCTGGTCAGGGTTTAAAAGAAAACTTCCCACCAGCTATTAAACAACAAGTGCAAGAGTCTACATTTTACCCATCTCAGATTTTTAACTTCACATTATTAATTTTAGGATATTGGCAGAACAGCAAAGATTTAAAATCTCTTTTTAGTATCAACTTTAAATAATATTTAGACTTAAGGAGATTGTTGGTCAATCAGTCAGAGATACAGAAACTTTATTTTCTGATATTGGTAAGATGTCTAAGAAAAAGATGTGTGCTCAGAAAGAAATTAAAAACTTGGAAGACATCTCTGTCTTCTCTTGGCCTTGCTCTCTAGGGCCTTCTGGTGTACCAGGCTGCCCCTGGGCCTTCTCCACCTCCACCTGATGGAGGGGGATGGTTAGGACGGTCTCGTGAGGGGAGCTCTGGAGGGGCTACCACACGAGATGGACAGGCTGCAGCTGGCTAGGACAGAGGACATGACATCATCTTTGTAAATGAAGCTCTCTAGGTGCATGCTGCTCTAGGTGTTTCTTTCCCTCCTGTTGTCCTGTGTCTCTGGGAAGGCCTTCTGTGAAGTCCCTGATCAGCATCAGCTGAGTTACGAAGTACTAAAGAAAGGGCGGCGCAGCTGGGAACTGGAGATGTCAGAGGCCAGGAGCACCCCACCCACCTGGGGGCGAGCGCATGGAAGGTGGTCAGGGACCAGGAGGCAGGGTGGGGCGCGCCCGTCCCCTCGCCCAGGGCAAAGGCCCAGGAGCGGGTGAGATGGTTTTGAGGGGATAGTGTTTTTGCGCACAATTCACACTGTAGTTCAAATGTGAACAAACCCTAATGTTTTGGTTAAGTAAACTGCATTGGGCTTGAACTTGCAAACACGTAACTTGAACAGTTAAAGGGCCTATGCAATAATAATTTGGATTTTTATCTTGGACAAAGATTTGGGATACACAGACATCATCTTAACATTTCATTTTACTGACTAGTTTGACCCTTCTCTCCCAAAAAACTTCTATTTTAACTATTGAAAGAGACTACTTTCTTCCTTTATGGCAAAGATGCTAATGCGAAGATAGGTGAACAGAAAAGTAGATCAGAGGTGGAAAATTAAGCAAACGCAAAATGTGATGGTTGTCACTTTTCTGAGAAATGGAAACATCATCTTGACTTATCTATCAATAAGCAATGTTTACCTACTTACTGGGCTTTCCTGGTGACTCAGATGGTAAAGAATCTGTCTACAATGCAGGAGACCTGGGTTCAATCCCTGGGTCAGGAAGATCCCCTGGAGAAGGGAGTGGCTACCCACTATTTATTTGAATACTATTTATTAAGTACCTTCGATGTGACAGACATTGTTTTAGGTGCTGGGGATGCAGGTGAGGGCGAAAAGAAATCTAAATCCAAAGAAACCTACTTCCATGGAGTTTATGTTTCCACTTCAAAGTTGTCTGAAAGCAAGTAAATGGTAGTTGCCTAATAAGCCATAGAATCAACATCTATCTTTATATTCACCATATTAATCTGTAATATTGGCACATTTTAGGACAGGATTTGGTTCTCAGATATCTGAGTTTCATCTTTTTGTATCTGTCCAGAGCTTGTCTTTGGCTACCAGGAAAAGCCTAGGAAAGGCAGACTAAGGTGCCTGCCATGGGTGAAAGAACAGAAAAGTCAAGTTTCTTATTGTACACGTGGAGGCTACAGAAAGGTACAAGGATTCTTCCATAATGCCCGTCAAACTCGGTTCAGCTGTAATCAGGGCTTAGTTGTATGAAACTGTTGTGTTTTGGGTACATGACTTGGTGGGGAGGATATCCAATAGTGTAACAAAAGAATTGTGCAATAACTTTAAGTATACTTGGAATAAGATTTTGCGGCAATCTGGAAACTTTCAGTTTTATGGTTTTATTACATCAATCACAATTTCTATTACACAAACAAATACAACTAAACCAGTGCAAAGAAAAGATCTTGGTGCCCGCCTAGTCTCACTTTGAAAGGCAGAGAAGGAAAATAATCATTTTTATAGCACTTTAACTTTGGAACCGAGGTACCTGCTGACGTCTTCTGTTTCTTCCTTCATTACGTGCTTTTCTTTTAACTTGGTCCTCTTGAAAAGAATCAAAGTAGGGGCTCTCCAGGAGTTGGGCACAGGTTAATCTATCATCTGGGTTCATCTTCAGACACTCCTTTGGAAGATGGGAAGAGCAAAGAAGATATTAAAAAGAGGAGCCTGTTTTGTTACTGTACCCTAAAACTCTGAATAATAACTTGGTAGAGCAAACACATGTTTAGAAAATCTTCAAGTTTGTATAGTATCCAGAACTTGAAACTTGTTTATAGCTAGAATTGCTCTTCTTTTTCCAATTCAAAGTCTTTTGAGGGCAGACTTGATGCACAGACAGTGTTTCGAAGGGTAGGTCAGGTGTCTGTCACTTGTAAAGCAAATAGTTTGTAGGAATTCACAAAATGTGGTCCCTAGGCCAGCTCCATCAGCATCACCTGGAAACTGCTAGAAATACAAATTTCTTGGTCCAACCTCAAATCTACTGAACCAAATGCCATGGGGTAGGGCCAAGCAATCTGTGGGCTTTTTGTTTTCAATCCGTGTTTAACAAGCCAACAAAGTTTGGGAATTAGACTTCCAGGACAGGACCTGCGAAATGCTGGGTTAGAGCAGTGAGAGGCAGAAAGCAGGGGAGGTCCCGGGGGGCAGTGGTAAGGGCGATCTGAGAGTTCAGAGGCGTGGGACTCCTGGTCTCAGGAGGAGTCAGGCTGAAGGAATCCAGCACGCTGGATAGCGCCTGGGCAGCGGCCAGCACGAGCACAAAGGCTGGTCTACACAGCTGACTCTAGGTCACTGATGGCTCTACTTCCTAGATCAGAAGAGTTTCAAACTGTGGTGTTCATCATAATCACCTAGGGAGAGGCTTAAAGATATAAACTCCAAGGTCCTATTCATAGAGATTCTGCTTCTGTAAATCTGAGGTTATTTACTGGAATGTGTATTTTTAAATAGCTCATTCTGATGAGTAGTCATTCTGATGAGTGGTATGGAAGCCATTGCTATAAATATGACTTAATTGGTTGTTAAAGATAGATACTCATACTAGTATCTCCATCCCTGCCCCATTAAAGGCTTTCAGTATCCATGGTGAAGGGAAGAGTCACACTTTCTCACATGATCTCAGCTGGTCAAGCAAGAACGGCAGACTGGTCATAGAGGAGCTTCTTCTGCTTTTTTATTAGAACTTGTTCTTTGATTGACCCTGGTACAGGGGCTATATTCGGTGTCTACCTAGTTCTGATTTCGCCTGATCTTCTACTGATTTATTTAAATAGCAATTTAGAATTTTAGTGAACCCAGTATATCTAAAGGTTATCAGTTCAATGTGTAATATTTTTAAAATTATTAATGAAATATTTTACATTCTTTTAAAAAGTAATTTTCATAGAAATATAGAATATCTTAATTCTCATCAGCCATAGTTCAACTGCTCAGTAGTAACATGGCTAGTGGCCACCCTATTGGATAGAATAGTTCTTGATCTTCTAACTTAAAAGGAATACATTCATTCTCATAAATTTCCATAGTCTGAATACACTGACTTAACTGTCAAATTTCCTAATAAATACAAAAGAAGCATGGTGTTCATCACAGCTGTAATTATTCTCTTTCATTGTCTACTAATTTTAAAGGTTATGTTGGAAAGATTTAGTGTTTAAACCACTGATGTTCTTTTAATTGTAATTATTTTACAGTTCTTTAATAGTTTCAATGACCACATTTTTATATTGGCATTATTTGACCTGTCCACCCATCCCAGAGTTACCAGCTTCAGTCATTATGATTTGCAGTCAATATGGTTAAAATTGATTTTTAGGTACCTTCATGAAATTCAAAGCCACAGGATAAACATCTGAGAACTTTTCTTCGAGAGTTTCCTAAAAAACAGAGTAAAGCATTTCAATGTTATGTAACAACAAAGTAACAGATATTTAAAATATATTAGTATTAAGAATACTTTGGAGAAAGCCCCTTAGTAGGTTATATAATTCCTTTCAAAGATTTTTTAAAATCATATTTTTACATGATTTTATACTACAGTGTAATGAAAAAAGCTGAAGTTATTTTCTTAATTTTACAATGTCTTGCAATTGGTGTTTGGTAAATGTTCATTCTAAATGTCCCCTTCAGTACCATAGTATCTACTTAGAGGGATCCTTAATCTACTTATAGGGGTGCTTTGAACATTAATGAAAATACACTGAACTGCATGAATAAGAGCACTACAGAAAGCAAAGGAATGATGAATGCAAAACTCAAAACAGTAAGCAAGGAAGAGAATGGGACTGAGGAAGGGTACATGGGGAGGGTGAAGCTTCCAAGTTAATGGCACCATTCTCCTTCCTTAACTAGGCAGCAGGTACATGTGAATTTGATGTCTTTTAGTCATTTTCTTTTGGCTGTGCCGGGTCTTTGTTGCTTTGCGGGGGCTTTCTCTAGTTGCAGCAAGTGGGGGCTACTCTTTGTTGCAATGTCCAGGCTTCTCATTGCGGTAGCTTCTCTTATTGTGGAGCATGGGCTCTGGGCACGCAGGTTCAGTAGTTGAGGCTCATGGGCTCTAGAATGGAGGCTCAGTAGTTGTGGAGCTCTGGCTTACCTGCCCAGAGGCATGTGGCATCTCCCCAGACCAGGGACTGAACCCATGTCTCCTGCATTGGCATGCAGATTCTTATTCACTGCACTACAAGGGAACTACTGTATTTTAGTCTTTAAACATGTTTTATGAATATTATTCTTAATTCAACCTCTATACTTGTAATTCAACATTTAACCTTTCATTATATGTGTTAAGAGTCTTAACAAACATAATAAAAAAGAAGCCCAGTATATAAATCAAGGTATTATATGAAATAAATTTAAGATGAACAGTGTTTAGAGAAGCCAGGACCACTTGAACCCAATGGTTCACAGGTGCCGTAAACATGACCCAGCTTAACAGATTCTCCCCTCCTCCACATCACTGTCTTTAACACATCGGGAGTAGGGCACAAGCCTCCCCTGATGGTCCTTTCATTGTATAGGCAGAATAAAGCTGGGTTAAAACTCAACATTCAAAAACTAAGATCATGGCAACCAGTTCCATCACTTCATGGCAATAAATGGAAAAGAAAGTGGAAGCAGTGACAGATTTTATTTTCTTGGGCTCCAAAACCACTGCAGATGGTGACTGCAGCCATGAAATGAAAAGATGCTTGCTCCGTGGAAAAAAAGCTTTGACAAACCTAGACAATGTATTAAAAAGCAGAGACATCACTTGGCCAACCAAGGTCCATATAATCAATGCTGTGATTTTTCCAGTAGTGATGTACAGATGTGAGAGCTGGACCATAAAGAAGGCTGAGTGCCAAAGAATTGATGCTTTCAAACTGTGGTGCTGGAGAAGACTCTTGAGAGTCCCTTGGACTGCAGGGAGATCCAACCAGTCCATCCTAAAGGAAATCAACCCTGAATATTCATTGGAAGAGCTAATGTTGAAGATGAAGCTCCAATACTTTGGCCACCTGATACAAAGAGCCGACTGACTGGAAAAGACCCTGATGCTGGGAAAGACTGAGGGCAGGAGGAGAAGGTGGCAACAGAAGATGAGATGGTTGGATGGCATCACTGACTCAATGGACATGAGTTTGAGCAAGCTCTGGGAGATAGTGAAGGACAGGGAAGCCTGACATCCTGCAGTCCATGGGATTGCAGAGTCGGACATGCAACTTAGCAACAGACCACATGGAGTAACACAGATAAGAAATCAATGACTACAGAGAGTAAGAAGATTGGGCAGTCATTGACAGATTCCCAAAGAAAGGCAAAGACCACAGCAAGGGTATAGAGTGGATCACTGGGGCTTGCAGTTTTGATTTCAATACAGTAAAGATCATTTTGTGGAATGATCTTCTATGTGAAAATACATGTGGTAAAAAGATGGTTTGTATTGATTTGAGGTTTCAGAGCTAAAAAAATAGAGAATGCATTTGTTTCTCAAAATAAATATAACTACAGTAAGTACTTTTTATGAGAAAATAATTATTTTATAGTTATTTTAGGGAAAGGTACCTGAGTGTTTTGATTAAAAGGATCACCATATTTATGAAGGAAAGAAATATGCTTTCACTTCACATTTAAAGTTAAATTAATCTTTGAATAGATAGGGCAAGAAAACTTTTAAAGCCTTCTCCTGGTTCTTTTTATTTAGTTTTTATATGGTTTATTCGACCTGTGTCAGAGTGTCATAAGGAGAACAGGAGTCCAAAGCACAAATACTAAAAGAGAAACAACCACCCCTTTAAAGAAAGTAGCAACACAAAGAGCAAAACACCAAAATTGAGCAATTTACCATATCTTCTGGTTCAGGAATACTGATGCCATGGAAAAACTGGTTACTTTTAAAGATAGACTGATGTCTTGGAATTAGCTTTCCTATAAAATACAAACCACATAACTCATGATTAATTTAGTTAAAAACAGCATCATGCTTCAACAGTTAATTTCCGAGGTCCAGAGGTAAAAGAAATACTGAGCCTGATCACTCCCTCTAGATTTGGGAGAAATTGGTCCCTGCAAAAACTGTGCCTCCTCAGGTAAGATCAGTGCTGCCAACTCTTTTTGCCACATGTGGCTTGCACTGTCACGTGTGCGTGTCTGCTCAGTTACTTTAGTCGTGTCTGACTTTTTGTGACCCTGTGGACTGTAGCCCACTAGGCTCCTCTGTCCATGTGATTCTCCAGGCAAGAATACTGGAGTGGGTTGCCACGCCCTCCTCCAGGGGATCTTTCTGACCCAGGGATCGAACCTACATCTCCTGCACTGCAGGTGGATTCCTTACCCACTGAGCCTCCTGGAAAGCCCCAGTCTGTCTTTCAGCTGCCATCAGAGGAGGAGGTGAGCAAGTGGTGTGGAGAGCTTGACACATATGATCTCATTTAATCTTATAACTATCTCATGATGGTTGCAATTTTTTCATCTCTACTGTCCCAGTGAGAGAATGAGGCTCAGAGGTTTGATAACCTGTCTCAAGTTACACAGTCATTAGGTGATAGGTCTGAGATTCAAACTCAGATCTGTCTGCTGCTGCTAAGTCACTTCAGTCGTGTCTGACTCTGTGCGACCCCATGGACAGCAGCCCACCAGGCTCCGCTGTCGCTGGGATTCTCCAGGTAAGAACACTGGAGTGGGTTGCCGTTTCCTTCTCTAATGCATGAAAGTGAAAAGTGAAAGTGAGGTCGCTCAGTTGTGTCTGACTCCTAGCGACCCCATGGACTGCAGCCCATCAGGCTCCTCCATCCATGGGATTTTCCAGGGAAGAGTACTGGAGTGGGGTGCCATTGCCTTCTCCCAGATCTGTCTAATATCTGCCTAATGTAAATTTCTACAGTCCTGATAGGAAATCAGTTAAACAGCATGAGCTTAAGGTGTGGCCTGTAGTGAAACACTACTCCACATCTCCCAGGCTGTGGAATTCTCCAGAAGAAGGTGTGGGAACCACATGGAACCAGACAGCAGCAGTTCCCTTGCCTGGCAGCCATGCTGCCAGGAGAGCCATGGGGAGCGATGACCAAATCCCCATCTTGTGTGCAGCTTGCCACTTTGTTCGCATCCAGGCTGATGGTGTGAGCTTGCAGCTGGTCTTTTGGGTTATGTCCTCTTCCAACCAGGTGGAAGGGGACAAGCGCTAAGGACACTGACATGGGATGAAAGCTCATGAAAGACAGCACTGGAATCCATTCTTGTTCTTCACTTATTAATAACTAGTTGTATGACTTCAGGTCATTCATGCAAGCCCCTAGAGCCTCAGTTTTCTCATTTGTGAAAACAGGCACAGTGAAAAATATTATGTCCTTAATGGATTTTTATTAAGACTGAAAGAGATGGTGTGTGTGAAAGCAATTTGTCAATCTTAAGTATAAAGGAATGGAGTTGAGAGCTGCAATAGAGGCTGTATAGCCTGCAAGACCTAAAATATTTACCATTTGGCCCTGTATAGAAAAAGTTTGCTGACCTCTGTGCTAGAGGAAAGGGGGGAAAAAAGGCAGAAACTGCATTTGATTAAGTGTCTTCAGAGTAAGCTCTATGCAGCTGACTCACACCCTCAGCCCCATCTAAACTGATAAGGAAAGTAAATGTATAGTTTATCCCACAGGTAATTGACTTGACTTGGAAAGGCATCTGAAAACTCCTCACTGAGAGGAGTTAGGGCTCCACACATTGAGAAAAGGGTTGGGCTTTGGCTATAATCCAGAACAGCCGCCCTCAGTAGCACTTTGGAGACAACAGAACACTCTTGTTCATTATAATGACATACTACTACAAGTTAGCAACTCTGTAAGCCATAAAATGTAACTTATACCCAATGTTCTGATTATCAGATAAAGTTGGTCCACATCTGATTTCCCAGGCCAGAGTGGCTGGCCTGTCAGCAGCTCTGCAAAAACGCAACCAGCAGCCCATATGTCGACTGAAGAACCATACTGGGTATCGCCCACGAGAAGTTCGGGAGCTCGGTACCATCTTGTAGCGACATAGTCAGTGTAGGCATCTCCTGGAACTGCAAATGCATCAAGAGTAGGTCAGGCTCTCTGAACAGATCGCATCAATAATTCTCAGAAGCCACGCTTCTCCCAACGGTTCACGCAGTGACGCACTAACCTAGGGAACTGTTACACTGTGTGCTCAGAGAGTAAATTCACCTTCCACACCATTAATATAAAATAGGCAAGCAGCAAGGATACACTGTGTAGTACAGAAGATTGTAACCATTATCTTGTAATAAGCTATCAATATGATGGAGTATAATCTGTAAAAACACTGAATCACTATACCATACGCCTGAAATTAACATACTACTACTAATCAACTAAACTTCATTTAAAAAAAATTCAACTTCCAAAGGTAGCTGAGCTATTTAACATCTATGTGATCCCAAAGAGAGAGCACCAGGGTGAGGGCACAGGGAGAATTTCTGTAGTGTGGCTTCAAGAATAAACCAGCTTCCCAATGCAATGTCAGGTCGCTGGTGTTGGGGTCCTATCAACAAGCTGACTATGTGCACACCCGCCTTGCAATGTGTCCGTTGTTAATACATGTTTCCGCCCGCTGCACAGTTTTAGATTCAGGGGGAGATCATTACCTGTCCCCCTTTTCCTTTGGTTCCTCTCTCTCTGGGATGACTTCTCTGTTGCTCAGCACTGTCTCTGAATCCTCTCTGTAATTTACAGTTTACTCTCCCAGTCTCATCAGCTCCATGAAGTTTTCCCCAACCACTCTAGATCACGTTAGTATCTCCCTCCGGGGAACCATCTGCCTCTTCACTTTAGTACTTTATTGCCAATCATCTTGCGTCAGGTGTTTGTTTCTTTTACTTCAGATTATAAGTGCATGAAGACCAGAAATGCACCCTTTAGTTCTCTTCCTTTCCTACGGGCACAGCACATAAATGTGGCATCCAATCAACTATAGTTGATTGGATGGAGCTGAAGTATGAACTAATGTACTGACTAAAAGATTAAAGTGAAATTTCCCTTTCTGAATAATAACACTATAACAATTAGCATAATTCAATATCTAAAGTAAGAATTTAAACTATATCATTTCATAATCATCTATATTGTATAACTTGGTAAAAAACTTGCTACTTACTCAGAATTCGTGCAAACCCAAAGTCACAGATCTTGATTATTCCTTGCTTAGTTATTAGAATATTTTCAGGTTTTACATCTCTGTGAATACACTGTAAGAAAATATTTAATTATTTCCCTGAGTCATCAAAACAACAAAGCATAATAAACATTAACTATTAGTTTCAATGATAAACACAGCCTATTTATGCTTACAAATATGGTGTTCCTTCTTTTTTTCTAAAACCTCAAATTGGCAATCTTTAATTTGTAAATCTTGTCATAACAAAAAAGTTGCTATACTAGGGAAAAAAATTAAAATAATTATTGGATGGGAAAACTGAAAAAAATTTTTTTGAGAAGGGAGTATCATATAATTATTTCTTCCACTTTTTACTGAGCCCTATTTGAATAGTAAGAGGTAGAACCCTGAATGAAACAACAAAGTCCCAGGGTATAGCACAGAGAACTACAGTCACTATCCTATGATAAACCATAATGGGAAAGAATATTTTAAAAAAGAATATATATGTATATGTATAACTGAATCCCTTTACTGTACGGCAGTAATTAACACAACACTGTAAATCAACTATACTTTAATTAAAAAAAAAACAAACCCTGAATGAGATTACACCCAGAGTGCCTCTAATAAGAACGGCTGCCACCCAAGAATCACAATTCAGGTTGCATAAACATTACAGATTTGAGAAACTGGAAAAACATTCAAATGATAACAAAAAGAAAATGCATCAGAGAGACCATCTTATCTATCATCTGGTCAGGATGTGTGAAAGGGAGCTAATTACTCCGAGAAGGCAACAGACCACAGCTGTCCTAGGCCAGCTGGAACCTATGGCCACCTGTTAACAAGAGATACCAAGGATTCAGCCTCAGGAGATGAGTATCCTCAACAGTGAGCTAATCTGGAACCATGAACAGGTTTCTTGAGATGTGACCTCATGATGGAGTCGCTCTTGGGAGACCAGGTCACCACTGGGAGGCATTCTCCCCTTAGAGTCCTCTCCGTGTGGAGAACTTGCAACTTGCTGCATCATCCCAGGACCCTCAGTGAAGCAAATGCTCCTTTCTGGATGTGAGAGGCTGAGCTGGGGGTGTGCATGATGATGGGCTGAGTGAACCCCACCCACTGTCATTCCAGAAATGGCTATTGCATGCTGTGGATGCCCCAGGAGAAAACAGCTCAGGCCCTCGTCTTCAGAACTTTAGCTTTCCAGGTTATTCTCCCTCCAAACAAGCAAATAGGTTAAAAACGCTCTTGCTCTTCTTCTACAACTCAGCCCTCACACGGAGCTCTGGACTATTCAGAGCACTTCCACATGAATTACTGTATCCTTGCAATGATCCTGTGATGGCAGGTGGCTACCGCTGGGCTCCTGATTAAGTCCCACAGCAATTAGTTCCCTCTGCCTGATTCTCTGTTGTGATGTCAGTCCCTTTAAGTATTCCTTTCAAACTGATGATTTTGAAATTATTATTATTATTATTTTTGCTTTTATAATAGCTATCTAAGAAGAGGAAATGTTGAATGCTAAATTCATTCTGGGTCATGAAAAAAAAAATGGCACGCATACTACAAGCTTGTTTGTATTTAGTCTCAATTACTGTCAACTGTTTCATTATTTGTATGGCCATCAGCTAGAAGAAACCTTTTATAGCCTCTTAAAAGTCCTAAGGCCTTAGATAGTAATTTTTAAAGCTGCACTGTTCTGACATAAACCAACATAGTTTTCATCCTACCTTTTAGGCAACAAATTTACGAAAACTGGATTAACACTGAGTCATATTCACCTATAATAGCTACTGATTTAATAAGAACAGGTTATGTCCTTCAGATGAGTCTGCAGCAAATTCTAAGTTTCTGGATTATGTGTGGTACTACCAAGTAAATGGACTTATACTGCTACCTATCTGCTGCTGCTGCTAAGTCACTTCAGCCGTGTCCGACTCTGTGTGACCGCATAGACGGCAGCCCACCAGGCTCCCCCGTCCCTGGGATTCTCCAGGCAAGAACACTGGAGTGGGTTGCCATTTCCTTTTCCAATGCATGAAAATGAAAAGTGAAAGTGAAGTCGCTCAGTCGTGTCCGACTTTTAGCGACCCCTAGGACCACAGCCTACCAGGCTCCTCCGTCCATGGGATTTTCCAGGCAAGAATACTGGAGTGGGGTGCCATTGCCTTCTCTGGCTACCAATCTAGTGGCCTACTGAAATATGCAAATCCCTGTGAAATTTATAGCCACTTGTTTTCCAACCAATATATACAAAGGCAAATGAAGTACTGACATGTCCCAAAGAAACAGAAGAAAATCATTTAGTGTAGGTACAGGTAAGAGAAGCTACAAATAAAGAAGAATAGATGAAGTACTGAAGATAGAAAAAGAGAGTAAAAAAATCACAGGAGTAGTAAGAACCAGAGCATGGAGAACAGAAGATGCTCTGACATACAGCATTCACTTTCTCCAATGCAAAGCTGCACTCAAGTGTAAACTCTGTAATACCTCTTGCAATCAACTTGTTTTTCACCAAAGAACAAGAAACTTGTAAGTCAGGGGAATCAAAACATTTTAATAAACTTGGGTTTCATACACAGCTTTTAGCAATCATTGCTTAAACTGGGTTATGGTGGCTGATGTACAATCTCATTTTTACTGACTCACAAGCCTGGAGGAAGAGGTATCCACGGTATTTTAAACCTGATCCTTAATTCTAAGAACCATCTCCAGAAACTTCCCTGCCAGAAGCTGCCTCTTTACATAAGCCTGAATGGACATCTGAGAAGGCTGTTCTTTGAGCCTTATGGACGGACACTCATAATCCGTGGAGGAGAGAAACCTACTTCTTGACAACTAGGACGCTGATATCAACGAGATGATAATGGACATTACAGCCAGACACACTCACATTTTGGAAGTCACCGTAATTTTGCCATTTTGATATGGAGTTGCTTTCCTTTTTTCCATACTGTATGGCTTGTAGGATCCTAGTTCACCAACCAGGGATTCAACCGGGGACCACGGCAGTGAAAATACTGAGTTCTAAACATTGCACTGCCAGGAAATTCCCAGACATGAAATTATTTTTCTCTAATTGATACATCAAATATATAAAAATTAATGAGTTGATAATGATGTCAAAGGGTCACCTTAGTTACCTCACTCTAGCCATATTATAGAGTAAAAAAAAGAACAAAATGAGTAGGTATTTTCTTAAGTCCAGTGCTTCTCAAAATTTACTGTGCACACGAACCTCTGGGAGATCTTGTTAAATATGCAGATTCTGACTCAGTAGATCTGGAATGAGCCTGAGAGTCTGAATTTCTAATGAGCTCTGAGGAGCCCCTCACCAACCACACTCTGAGTAGCAAGGCCTTAATCCCTTACTACCATCACCTTGGCTGGGATCACCGCTCTGGAGATAAAAGATAGTCACTGTGAATCTTCAGCAACACCATGGGTGGGACTGCCTTTCCTATTTGAGAGTATCATGAGGGTTCCTTTAAAATAAGGAGAGTATAAAGGTTTTAGATGTAGTATTGTAACAGCTTATATATGATTTAGATTTTTTCCTTTGCATGTGTTTCAGCTAATAGGTTTATTTTAAAAAGATACACAAAGACTTACCACAGTGTAAGAAAAATGGGATAACCAGAGTTCAGAAGTAATTTTCTTGTCAGAGGGAGATAGTTTGTCTGAAAAATTATCCATTTTTAATAATGGGTTATAAGTGGGAGGTTTTCAATATTTTAAAGTTTAAGGTACAGAACGTGTTGTTCCCAGCAGAGGAATGGAGGCAGTTGCACAGAGCTACAATAACACTTGGGTTCACTATAAACAGTCAGTCATAATCAGGTAGGTAAGTTGACTGATGGACTCATTCATTCATACATCCAGTTACTCCATAAATGTTTCCTGAGCACCTTTTATACAAAAAGATCCAGACCAGGCATTAAAGAGATACATACAAAGATAAATCACCACAGAGACTGCATTCAAGCTTATAATCTGATTATACAGGGATAATACACAAATAGTTATGGTAAATAGAATTTTTAAAAAATCATTTTAATTACCCATAAAACTCCAGCACCACACTTAGGTGAACTTGAATACCTCTCAGAGCATGGTGGAAAGCAACAAAGGTGTGGATACAATTCTGCATCATCTTCAGTAATTATTTGAAAGCACACTTTGCATCATGAAAAATATGTATCTTGTGAGCAATATGTCTCTGTATTCTATATACTTTATCAGTAAAAAGTCAAAGCTTTTCTGACCTAATAACAACAAAAACCTCACTTTCTTTTTTAAGATAATTTTATTTATTTTTGGCTGTACTGGGTCTTCATTGCTACCCTGGGCTTTTCTCTGGTTGTGGGGAGCAGGGCCTACTCTCTAGCTGCAGTGTGCTGGCTTCTCCTGGTGGGGAGCACAGGCTCTAGGGCTTGTGGGTTCAGTAGCTGCGGCTCCTGGCTCTGGAGCACAGGCTCAATAGTTACGGCACACGGGCTTAGCTGCTCCTTGGCATGTGGGATCTTCCCAGATCAGGGATTGAACTCATGTCTTATGCGCTGGCAGGTAGATTCTTTAACCACTGAGCCACCAGGGAAGCCCTTTGCTGACTTTCTTCTTAACACTAAGGGACGCTTTCCTTAAGTACTGAAAATTAGTTCCATGATTGTGTACTCTTTTTCAGCAATCCTAGATTACTAGGATAGATATTCTGCTCTTGGCATCAAAACTGACCAGATGGTAGTCTGCATCCTTGCCTCAATACTGCCTCTATGTAGACACCAGCTCAAAAGGTTACAAAAAAAAAAAAAAAACTATCATTATAGCAAAAGCACCCAAGAGCTTATTAAAGAAGCTCCCGCTGGCCTAAATGGGACAACCTGAACATCAGAGAGAACAATGATTGCAAAGGATTGAAACACACAGCATACATAAAATCATAATGATGCCCTACACCTCCCCGAAACCCTTCACTCTTGGAGGTTGCTTAGAGACACTCTTGGTGACACGAGTTCACCACTGTGAGTAGTGACATCTAAAAGGAATAATCACATATTTATCTTACTGTACTTTATAGTAACCAGAGTCCATGGTAAATTCTTCTCCATAGAATTCCAATTAATAAATGCAGAAGGAATATTAGAATTAGAAAATTGCCACCTTTTAACCTTTATGAAATACTGGAGAGAGGTAATAATGATCCCTAAATGCTAAAACTAAAAAAAAGATTGACAGTGAAAGTGCTAAAGAAGGGGATCAAGTGAACATCTCTTGAACCTACCAATCTATTTTAAGATAATCAAAAGTGGGAAAGATGGCCAGACATTGTATATGCCTCAGGTTGCTGACACAATGAGAAGTGTACAGTATTACATGTGAAGCCTTTCTGTCTGAAAAGACTGAGCCTGAGTGTGACAAGCCTCTAGACATAAACACCAATTTACAGTAAATACAGGCAAAAAGCCAAGTTAAATAACACATAGGAAGCAACCTATAACACAGAGGTCAGAGCATGGTTCTAGGACTGGAAGCTTCAGTGTCAATCGGTAAACTCTTAGAATTGCAAACTCTCAGGTTTTATCCCAGACCTATGGAATCAGAAATTCTGGAGGTGGGCCCAGCAAAATGTGTCTTGACAAGAACTCCAGGTGATTCTGATGCACGCTCAACTTTGACACCCATGGCTCTGAAAAATTAATAATGGAAAAAAGAAAAAAAAAAAAAGATAGGGGAAAGGAGACCTTTACAGTATAAAAGACATTAAAGACAAAAGAAAATCAACTGCCATGGAGGGTTACACTACTGATATTCTGAAAACTTATTTTAATCCAATTTAAAACTAATCATAGGAATCATTAGTACCGGGGCAAAAGGAAACATTTAAGTTTATACAAACTTTTAATTCATAAGGAATGAATAATTTGATTCTTATAGAAATTACAAAAAAGCCATTAATAATGCATTACTTTTCCTTGTATTCTGTAACTTTCTTTTGTTTTGCTCTTCTGGTTCTTATTCTCCTTCCATCATTAGCTCTTCAAATAGACCCCTGAGCCATTTAGGAGAGAGGAGTCATCATGAAGAAATTAGCAAATACATTAGGAAATGTTACTTACGTTGTGTTTATGACAGAAATTGAGAGCTTGAAGTGTTTGCCATAACACACTTTTGATCACTCCATCAGCAACTCTGGGGAAAAAAATAAAAAAGGAAATGAAAACTCCTAAGATGTGTTTTCAGGAGCAGAACTGGGAATAGAAATGGAATGGGTGGGGCTTGTCACAGCCAATGGATGCAGTACAAAGGGAATCTTGGAAACATTCTTTTTAAAAAATGTTTTAATGAAAATTGCTTTACTACTTTTTTCATTATAGCTATGTAACTTTCCTTTTTAACTTGAAATTTTTAACGCTTTCCATGAAAATTCAAACAATATATAAAAGTAAAGAAATAAAACATGTTCATTCAAATCTTGCTAGCACAAAATAATTGCTGTAACTTATAGTGATTGTCCCTTTGGGAATCCCTGGTTCTCTTCCTCTCTCTGAATTTACATTTTAACTTTAATATTAAACACATGCATTCATAAGGTTTGATATTTTTTAAGTTAAAAGAATATCCATGAAGAATTCTCCCGTATCTGCCTAGCCAATCATTTCATCCTTGGCAAATTCCCCTGCCTCTTTCAGAAACATTGTATGCATTGAGGTACAGATACATATATACAGAATATGTATACATCTATTTCAGTGACCAAAGATCTCATTATATAGATGTATCATAATTTAGTAAGTCCTCATTGACAAGCAATTAGGTTTGATCCAAGTTTCATTTCTAGAAACAGTGCTTCAGTGAATATCCAATCATCTATCTATGGCAGTTGTGCAATAATCTTTTAAGGTAAGTTCTAGAAGTGGGATTTCTGGGATCTATGGGAGGCATATATCTATGATATATTTTGATCCTGCAGGTATGATCTTCAGGTAGAATTGAGACCTGGTTTTGCAGGAAAAAAAGGCATCCGTGAAGAGTGACCTTCAATTCATCGAATTTAGGTTGGGGGTAAACACTCAAGCATATGCAAGAGTTGTTTTTAAAACTGTTCTTACACCTGGTAAGATGCAGCTCAAATACTCTGGCTGCCTGATTCGAAGAGCCGACTTACTGGAAAAGACCCTGATGCTGGGAAAGACTGAGGGCAAGAGGAGAAGGGGATGATAGGGGATGAGATGGTTGGATGGTATCATTGACCCAATGGACATGAATCTGAGCAGACTCCAGGAGATGGTGAAGGACAGGGAAGCCTGCGTGCTGCAGTCCACGGGGTAGTGACTGATCAGTAGCAACTTACACCTGGTAAGCAGGCAGGTACATGGCCAGGGAGGCGGGGAGAATCAAGAGCCCATGAGAATGGGAGCCTGGGAGCTTCCTGCCTCTGCAGATTTCCTGTGTGGAAAATACTGGGGAGTATTTTCCACTGGGGGAGCTGGGCAACTTGTATTCTGAGAGTACTTAGTCTATTTTGTTTAACCATTTCTATAAATTGCAGCAATTACATTCCCTCTAACTTTTCTATTGATGCCCTGTTTCAGGGCATCTCACAGGAAGTCATGGCTTCGGTTCAAAACAGAATCCTTAGTGAGCGCAGATTCCAGGAAGGCAGATTCCATTTTAGGCAAAACAACATTTATACAAAATAACAGCTACAAACAAATACCACAGATCTTACGAAGATAGTTATCAAAGAGAACACAGATTCACACACATCATTCCAGAAACACAGAGGGCTGTAACATTAGTCAGCCACGCTCAGCAGTTACTCAAAGCATTTGGTGAAATAAAACCTTCCATACAAACCAACTGATACGCAACGCTTCGTATACTGTGGGTGAATGATAAACATATAATAGAAGAATTGATAATCATGAAGGTCTGGAAGCAAAAACTAGACATCCTGGGGGCTTCCCTGGTGCTCCAGCATGCTTCCACAGCAGAAAGCATGGGTTCCATCCCTGGTCAGGGAACTAAGATCCCACATGCAGTGAGGCGTGGCCAGTAACTAACCCTGATGCTGGGAAAGACTGAGGGCAGGAGGAGAAGGGGGCGACAGAGGATGAGATGGTTGGATGGCATCACTGACTCAATGGGCATGAATTTGAGCAAACTTTGGGAGACGGTGAAGGACAAAGAATGGTGCCTGGTATGCTGCAGTCCATGGGGTCGCAAAGAACTGAACAACAACAAAAAACAAATTAAATGTTTTTAAAAAACAAACAAAAATAGATATCCTGGTTCAAAACCAAAGGTGTTAGGGAGGGTGGCAGCGTCAGGGAATTCAGACTGGGTCGCCCAGAGGCTGCTCTTTCAGCCACTTGGGAATCCTGGTGCTGACATCAGAGCTCATTATCTTTTAGTTTTATATATTACTTGATGGGGAAAACAATTTCATTATCAGTGCCCAAGATGAACCAAGCCCTTCTCTTAAACCCTTGTTAGCCTAGAATAAAATCCAAACTTTATCGTGGCCTACCAACCTCTTAATGATTTCACTTCTGTTAACCCTTTTCCCTACCTTTATCTCCTACCACATTCTCACCGACCTCCACTCTGGCCCGAAGCGTCTGCTCTTCCCTCAACAGACTGCCAAAGCTCTGTGTTTACTGCCCATCCTACTCCCCTCACCAGGAATTCTCTAGCTCCTCAGTGGGTTTTCCTCTCCTCCAAAGCCTTCTAACTCCGCACGGGATTTCTTTACCTTGTCCATTACTGTAGCTCCAGGGCCTCGAACTGTAACTGGTACCCAACAGGTCCTCAACTAAGCATCCTTCGCCGGCACTCTCAGAAGCTATATAAACTCACACCCTGTAATAAATCCCTTTTTGCTTAAACTAGCTAGAGTGAATTCTGTTGTTGAATATTGATCCGTGCAGAATAGGACACCAGAAGTGGGCATGGGAAGCAAAGTCAAGGCCTTGGGAAGGCAGGCTATCTGACTGGTCGGGTCAGAAGGCAGGGGGATCCAAATACTGTAAGTGGCTGTAACACTGGTGAATGGATACCCAGTGATGAACCAATTATGTACACAATCACGTGTGGTCATCTGTAATAAAGTGCCTGTTCAGGGCAGGGTTTTGTTGGACGGAAAGTGATCAAACAAAATGGGAACACACGGGAAAGTAACAAAAGTGGGGCTGGGCTGGGTGCTTCTCACTTCGCTGGAAAAATTGAAGAAAACAAAAGGATAGCTTTAGGTAAGGCTTTGATGTTTTGGTTCGAGGCACAGTTAGGAAACCAGAAGTTTCAATGCTTGCCCTTATTTCTTGTGTTTTTAAGACTCGCTCCATTGACCACTGGGATTATCCCAGAAGTGACTAAAAAATCGGATGCTGAGAATAGTCCTGCTGGGTGCTAAATGACAATACAGACTGAATTTATGTGAAGTTAATTAATTTCTCAGTTAATTAACTGAGACACACACTTTGAGAAATGAAATGCGACACTTGGGAGTATTCACGGAACTAAGAGCATCCCAACCTCCTGCCAAATATCCCTTCTTTTTTACTTATTTACTTTGTGGCCACACCTCATGGCATGTGGGATCTTAGTTCCCCGACTAGGGATCAAACCTCTTGCAGTGGAAGCGTGGCGTCTAAACCACTGGACCGCTAGGGAAGTCCCAAATGTCCCTTCTTACATGAAGTAGCCCCCAAACTGGTATGGAGACTGGTCTTGCCTTGTGGAGGGCCCCTCATGATCTCACTCGAGGCAGCTCTATAGTATGGGTGTTGTCAATTCTCCTCAAGGCTCCTTTCCCCGCCACCCATCAATGTCTCCAAACTTTGACTAAAGTCAGATCTCAGCATGTTCCAAAGGGCCTATTACAAAGTCAAAGAGAAGAGAAGATGTGCACAGCAAAGAGAACTATTAAATGTTGCTAATCTATACTGGAGCATGCATGTGGAAAGAGATTTCATAAGTGTCGGACCAGAAAGGAGGAAACACGATTTTACACTGGACTGATTCCAACAGTTATGGGCACACTTACTGCCGAGCCTGGTTCAGTAAACTACCTGGAGCAGCTAGGAGTGAGAGAAGTTGATTAATGAACTGGTTGATCAGAACCTGGGCTAGATGGGTACCTGTGCCAAATGAAATTGCAATGCTGGAAGTTCATTAGTAAAATGAAGAGGAAGAAATCCAAAGTTTTGGGGAGACAGGAGTGTTGGAGAGGATTTATCACATGCAACATGCTCATCTACTTCCCAGCTATGTCTCCCCAAAGTATTAACGGTAGCAGCAATCTATGAAAAGTGAAAGCTCAGTCGTGTCCGACTCTTTGTGACCCCGTTGACTATACAGTCCACGGAGTTCTCCAGGCCAGAATACTGGTGTGGGTAGCCTATCCCCTCTCCAGCAGATCTTCCCGACCCAAGAATTGAACTGGGGTCTCCTGCATTGCAGGCAGATTCTTTACCAACTGAACTACCAGGGAAGCCTGTGTTTGTCCCCAAATCTGCAGTATTGCTTTCAGTTTTCTATTTGGTGCCAGACACTTCTACTAGCTCCTCCTACCACAACTGCCTTCATTCCTTGGTTCAGAACCTAGTTCTTTTTGCATTTTCTAGTGTATCTATTTCCACTATCTGATTAGAAATGGGGAAACTGCTCCAAGGATGAACTCATGGACCTGACAAGACTACCATGGGACGGATTCAGGTTAAATTTCACTGGGGACTCTCAATAAGCTTCCCATCCCCACAAAACTGCCGAACCACTGTGACTTTCAAAGTTACTGGTGATTGGTTTTTACTTTACAGCATGATTCAGAGAGTCCTGAGAGATTGGGTAGCTCTCTTTTCCCAATACACAACTATCCTGATAAATGGCCACAGACCATTTGGGGATAGACTAAGAGCAAGAATTAAGTACACACACACATGATGTCAATGCAGGGCTATTCCCCAAGGATAACTGCCTCCTTCACGAGGCCCTGGGTCTTGGCTATTATGGTGTGCGTGTGCGCTAAGTCACTTCAGTAGTGTCCAACTCTTTGCGACTCTGTGAACCATAGCCCACCAGGCTCCTCTGTCCATGGGATTCTGAGGCAAGAATACGGGAGTGGGTTGCCATTTCCTTCTCCAGGGGATCTTCCTGACCCAGGGATCAAAACTGTCTCTCGCATTTCCTGC